CTGTCACTGAAGTAGATTCCGGCATCCGGAGAGTGTACAATTTCCTCTTAAGGAAAATTTTATTGTGCAACGATGTGGCCTCGTACAGTTTGGTGAGATGATCTCATATCTCCTTAGTTATTTTCTTCTCCTCGATGCTTGACAATACTTCATATGCTAATGTTAGATGAAAGTTTGCCATAGCATTTCCATCCATTTCGATCCATTTGTTGTCATATGTGAAATCTACCAGCCTTTCAGTAATAGCTGCTAGACAACCTTCTTTCCTCAGGATGGCCTTCATCTTCAATTTTCACAATGAGAAATTTCTCCTATTAATTTTTTCAATATCAAATTTCGTTGCCATGGCTTCTATTACATATAGCTCCCACTATTTTACTATCGTGAATAGTTCTCCAGAACCTTCAAATAATGGGTAATACCTTCTTACTTTCTTATGTTGGAGGATCCACCTTTTGGTGGCAACCACAAAGACAATAAGCAGATATTACACACTCAAATCTGGCTCTGATACCAATTGTTGCAGAAGACGACTATCGGATAGAGCAAAATCACAACTGATAATTTGAGAAAATAAAAATGAAGATAAAGAAGACATAAAATTTACGTGGAAAACCCCTAAAAAATATAGGGTAAAAACCTCAGACAACGGTAGAAGAATTTCACTATGAGAAAATAGGAATTACAACCTCTCTCGATTTACCAAGGAGATAACAATGATAATTCTCTCTTGATAAAAAAGAGAAAACAACTCTCAAGAAAACTCTCTAAATTCTCTAGTATTGAGAGAAAACTAGAATGATTTGGGATGATTTTGAAGCTAAATGGGCTAAGGTATTTATAGTTGTTAAGGACTAATCTTGTAAATATTCTAAACTTTAGTTACTAAACTTTGTAATTTTCCCTTTCTCATTTTCAACAATTACAACCCTTTTTTTTACTTATCATATTTCGGTGGATTTAATTTTTTTTCAACTTTCAACTTGCACCGAAAGGTGCACTGAATTTTCAACAATGGAGTGTGTTAATCGATGTTAGATTGATTTTATAAAATAATCTAGAATAAAGTTAGAAATTATATAATAGTATGGATTAAATTAAAAGATTAGAAATCATTAACAAAACCTCCTTTTTTTTCACAAAAAATCCTAGAAATTCTAAGTACATTGACATAAAAGAAGTCCCCAACATAAATTCTATATTTTTCTTTCAATTTTTTTTATCAAACTAGTTGTATCACAAACTTTTTAAATCAGATCAAACTGAAGTTATATAGTAAATTCTAATATTATGTATCATTTGTATATGGGTGTGTGCGTTGAAATCTGCTAAAAACATAAGCATGAATCAAATATTAGTGGGGTAGTAAATCAAATTCAGTGAATAAAGCAGATTGTGAAGCCAGAGTTTTGCTTTCTTTTCAGACACTGCTTTCTCCTCACAATTATGTCTCATTTCCTAACAAAAACACTCACCTCCATTTCTTGTCAGCTTACTATATTCAGGGAATGTCTCCTTTCACTTCGTCTGGTTCCGAGATCGATTTCAATTGTGATTGATCTGTTTGCATTACCACTGTTTGATCTGTGAGGTTGCTCCAAAAGCATGATATGATTCTTTGAAGCTAAGTGTGATAGAACAACACTATAAAGAATACAGCTGCAAGTCATTCCCATTTTAATGCCAACTTTATATCATTTTATGTACTGTGCATGCATGATGTATGGGAAAAAGTTGCGAAATTTGCAGATACCAACGACACAATCTCTAAAGTTTTTAACATTTATATGCATTTCTTATCAGAAAGATCAAAATATCTTGTTTGATTCTTTGTCTGCTTGCGGTTGTTACATCTTTTCTCAATCATTCAAAATCGTTCATTCTTGAACTTCACTTGGTCTTCGTCCATGTTTTTTTCCATGGTGGATTGAGCTTGAAGGCTACCTAGTGTGTAGCTGTTGGTTGTACGTCAAGCCATGCTGCGTCCTATATCCAATTGCTCAGGCTTCGAGTCTCTATGCGTAAATGCTCCCATTTTGTTTATCGATAGAGTACAAAAGATAAAGTCCTTACATAAAAATGATACCGACTGTTAAAAATTTGATCAGTTATCCAATGAACTTATCATAACTTATTTAGCTAGTTCTGACTTATTGTATCATAAAATGTTTTATCTTTTTGTTTAAAATTCGACTCGACTCGATTTTAAATACAGTAAACGAGAAAAATAGGCGGTAATCCTTGCGTATTTATTGGGAAGGCATGCTTTTAGAAAGTGGGAAGTAAATCCTCGTAAAAGGCCGCAATTGGAGGTCTGGAATTTGTATGATGTGATGGGTCTACAAACTTAAGGTATACAGAAAGTGAATGTTTCAAAGCTGAGACTTTGAGAGTGTTAAACATAAACATATAATTATTAGAACTGTTACAAATCGTAAAAGGAATTGCATAAAAATGAGAGAATGAGACTGAAGAAAGTGAAAAAGGGTAATCGAAAGTGAAAAGAAATCAGATTTGAGAGAGAATACAAAGACAAAAAAATGTGGGGGAAACTGTTACCTTTAAAGGGAATAAATGATGATGGAGTTGATTTGATTTCACTTGTAGACTTATTAGATAAAGCCAATGGGCCAAAAAAGCCCAATAAAATGTCGTTCCTTGTTTCCAGCCCAAGGAATCCGACAATAGTTCTGTCAAATCTTATGTTTAGAACCAATATTTTGTTGCGCAAGATCGAACTTCAATGCAAGTTCAATCATTGTTCATAATTGGACATTATGTACATAAATGATCTTGAGTTCTCCAGAGTATTCCAGTGTTCACCACAAGAGTCAGAGGTCGACTATTGGGGATAATCAAAGGGTTTCAGGAGCTATAAATGTTAAACTTAAGAAATTACTAATTAAGTAATCCAATAATAATTAAACGCAACTAATATTATCGTAAAAAATATCAATCTGAAATAGAAAGTCGTATGGAAGATGTCTAGTTTTCGAAAACTTCAAGACAATTCCGGAGGATAAAGGCTCTGTAGGCCTCAAGATTTATTTGAGTAGAGGATCTTCTGGAGGATCTTCTGTAGAGAATATGACAACAGAGTGTTGGATACATAAAAGATCTTATAAAATAATTTTAAACTTAAATTAAATCGATAGTTGAATTTGCTGAGACTTGTATAAACACTCTTTAATGCTCGAGAATGTTGGATGTCTATCTCACATGATACAACAATTGTTCACTCGTGGAAGCGACACTCATGTACAAACAAATAAGCAAGGGAGTCCATATAAATTAAACAAATTTAATAATAAAAGAAAGCGTTATTCTTTTTTGAAATTATGAGTTCGAGCAACTGAGTTTGCAGGGTGTGTTCGTGTTCATTGTCAATTAACTAAGAAAATTCTGAACATATATTATATTATAATCACTCAAACTAATAAAAAAATGGCTATATAGTTTGCACTTGGCATTTTCACTATGGTGTTTCCAGCTGTTTCTGGGTTTATAGCCTTTCCAGGTTTGCTGATGAATTGTATATACATTAACATCATCATGAATGAAGCAGATATGTAGAAGAATTATTAGTACAATGTTTTACACCTTTATTGGTTACTTTTTCTTTTCTGTTCTTTCAAGTTTCCATCTGCTAATATGATGTTATTTGTTTTCTGTTTATTGAGCAAGTCAAGAATCGATCATACCTACTTCATTAAAGTTTATATATATATATATATATATATATAAAGAGTTTAAATATGGTGATACATGAGACTTATTATCTCAAATAAATTCGTATTTAGAATCTCAAATTAGAGTACTACTAATTTGATCAACACTCTCCTATGCTTCACAGGAACAATACCCCCCACCAAAAAGAGCAAATAAACCTGCAAGTTTAAGTCATTCATGGAGTAAGCATACAGATTTTCCACAGTTCAATCCTACCTTTTCTGCTACTATATATATATATATATATATATTGTAATAGATTTTAAAGTTTCAAGTACAATAAGAATCAAATAAATTTCACTGATAAATTTCTTAATCTATTTTATATGAGCAAACAATCTTCTTTTTTACCTGAAAATGCCATGCAAACATTGCTGGTTTAATATAGCTTGCTGATGTAGACATCATAATCAGAAGTAAACTACATTAAACAAGCAATGTTGAAAATTTTCAAATAATTTGTTTTATTCATTCTTGATTCTAAAACTGAAAATGATCTTTCTTACTTCGAATATGAAAATAAAGAATTAAAATACCAAAATTGATATAGAACTCAAATCTTAATAATTAAGTGACATTTCAATTTCCAACATCTACCATCTCCATTTCAATGTTCACTATTTTTGTTTGAAAACAAGCAACCATATATCATATATGAATCAAAGAACAAACCTAAGCTCCATGAATAATTTAATTTTCTTGGGATCATAACCATGTTTATTAATAATAACAAAAAGATGTATATTGATAAATTTGATTATTAACTATATATGCTTGAAGAGAAAAAAAAATGATAATTATAACCACATATATAAATTTCAGCATAAATATAGAATCAAACAACAAATATTAACCACCTGTATATTATATATCTGCGACTCAGACTCAATCATTTTCTTGCACATAAACAGAGTAATTAAGTTAAACTCAGCTAAATCACAAACATTAAGTTTACTGAGTTGGGTTGACGATTACTTAGATCACTACTTAAATACATAAATAGAACATTTAATAAAAATATTTTTTATAATCATCAATATATAATTTATTAGTCTATTATTCTGGATCAAATAATATATAAGTTGAATATAAAGTGATGTTTTCATCCAATTTAGTCGACTCAAACCCTGAACTTGTCTGATGACCTAACACCTTATATTTTAGCCTACATAATTTCAGGGTTTATAAAGGGAAAGCGTTTGTAGAAAAGTAACCTCAACAAAAACCAGATCAAGTTCTCCAGTTTTGTAAGAGAGAGGGGAAATATTTTTAACTTTATCAATATTCCAGGATTACACTAGATTATATAGAAAACAAGTAATAGGGTAGAATTTAGGGTTTCCGGTTTTATGAACAAAATCTAGGGTTCCTAGCTTTTATTTATAGCCACAAAAGGTGCATATATTTATATGTGTTCCAAAATATGCAGCATGCAATTCAAAAATGGAAGGTTCACCGGTTTTAATCCCAGCTTTCTTCATGAATGTTGAGCATAGCCAAAGGCCATTGCTTGAAGGTCATCAACAACATCCTGGCAATTATTCCATTGTCTGGTTTGCATGTCAAAGGAAGACATGGAACGAGGAGCCTCCTCAAAAGTTGTAGTAAACGAAGAGTTGCCTGAATTTTCGAAGTTCCCTAAAGAGCTACTCGGATCCAACAACAACCCGTATGAATTCGGATCAAAATTCAGTGAACTATCCGGCTGAAACCAACTTTGAACATCTTGAAGATTATGAAGCTTCCCGTGGTATCTGTCATTAGGGTTTGCAGTAACAGAGCTCTGAGCTGTTTGTAATTCCTTGAGAGAAGCAAGCTGTGCCTGTAGATTCACAACCTGTAGAAAAAGAAACAATCAGATCTTCACTCGACACTCAAGTTAGGGTCTTCGAAAACAATTTCAAACCTGTTGTTGGAGAGCAAAGATATGGGAAACACAGCCATAAATAGGGTCTTGAACCCTAGCTTGAGCTTCATATGAAATGGTTAGAGCAGCTTCAAAGCGGTCATTTACAGGGAGGTGAGCAAGCAGCTTTGAAACGTTGCTTGCACCAAACACCTTGTGTATGGCAGCAAAATGGGTCGCACCTTGTTCATGACAGAAATAAGGTGCAAAAACACACCCCCTAACGCATTTTCTCCTCAAGAACTTGCAGGCTCCACAAGGTGAACCAGAACCTGTCATCTTTTCCTTTTTTCTGGGTATTTTAGTGGGTTATTTAAGAGAGAATAGTTGATGGATTTGAGCTAATTAGCATTATCATCTTAAGGGTGATTATAAACACCAGAAGAAGAGGAAGGTGGATGATTTAATAATCAATTGTTAATTACAATTGGTCCCCTTATTGGGCTACATGCTTTATTGTTTATTTCCTTAAAAAAAACCCTCTTGCAACCTTTCAGTCTTAATTATTTATACACTCTCAAGATACATTCAATTTGTTACTTGTTCATTGCAACTATTATTCTAATTTCTTCATGATTATAGTTATTATTTAAATCTGCAAATATAGTCAGAAGAAACTGCAGGTTCAGTCATAGGTAGATCATCAGGTAGCTGCAGAAGCCAATGGTCACACCCATCCATTCATCTACCCAAAATAAATAATCATGGAAATGGAATTATTGGGAAGAAATTGCCTCATTTTGGTGACCTGAAAGATTTTTATATGGTATAGTGATGCTCTAGATATGATTACAATCTAGCAATATTGTAGGGTACTACAGCTATATATATATATATATAGGGTTGAAAAAGAAGCAGCGGTCCCTCTCCCTTTGCTATTATCCCACCTGAAAGTGGACTTAATTTCCCCAGTGAAACTGAAAACCCTAAAATAATGTTAAAATTCATTTTATTGATGTCAAAGTATACATAAGATATAATGTGAAAATTCATTTTCTAAGTATAACTAAATAATCAAGTTAATTTATATTCTTATTTTAAGTATTTTAACCTTCTAATGTTTTATTTTGAATTAGAATGAGTTTTGGTTGAATGGAAATTATTAATAGACTAATGGTCAACACTTGTCGTCGATATAATAAATGGTATATGTTTAAAGTGTTGATATGACACTATCACGTGTCTAAAGTGTTTAAGTAGCACATAACACATATTCAAAGTGATGATATGGTATTGTCACGTATACAAAAATAATGATGTGTCAAATATCTAAAGTGATGACATAACATAGTGATATGACTTATCACATGCCTAAAGTGATGACATCACTTTTGACATATATAATTTGTCACGTCAACGACAATCCTTGATTGTTAGTCAATTAACGATTTACATCTATCCAATAATCATTTTAGCCTTAAACAAAACATTGAAACTAAAATATCTAAAAAAAAGAAGAGAGATAGAAGTGACTATAAAATCAAACATTAGAAATGAAGTGTGATACATAATGCAAGAAATAAATATAAGAAGCATATATTCGAAAAATGAATGAAATAAATGATAGTAACAATCTATGGAAGGATTATGTTTATTATTGATTTTGTTTACTGATTAATGTTTAAAATGTTAATTTTGATTAGTTTAAGCAAAGTAGGTTAGGGCTTGTCTAGCAATACAACATTAATTATCATCATTAACTAATCTTTATATATAATCATTAATCCAATTTCAGGTCACCCCTAAATCCTCACACACATCCCCTATAACACCCTTAACCCGTATCCGACCCGAATATAAGTTCGATGTGTCACATTGACTTTTCAAACTTTGTGACTTAAAGAAAAACAGGGAAATTTTAAACTTTCATTAAAACCAAATACGTTAATTTACATAAAAGAGATCACGAAATACAAAATTGATCAGAGCATTCGTAATTAACAACTTATTACATGCCCACACTCTATACATAACCCAAAATACCTACTCTGCCAATTACTTCTGATATGATCTTTTAGTAGTGATGCTATTCTTGCTACTTCTAGTACTGCTCTTCTTGTTTCCTGGTACCTACGTGTAAATCACTTACACGCTAAGTCATAGACTTAGTGAGGCAATAAATAAACATGTAGTTATAGATTCATGAATATGCATTCTTACCATTTGATCATGACATTTCAATATGCATGTATGTATTTCACTATAACCGATATAATCATGTCATGTACATATGGAACTTATCTTCTTGTATCACTTTCACCTTAATTTATCTTTCAATTGCCCATGTACATTATTGAGAACAGATGTATTTGAGTACATTGAGGTTGTGAACTGATGCTGTCACCACAGCTCAATAAATTCCCTCATGGGGGCATTGAACATTTGTTCAGTATTTTTCCCGAAGGACTATGTCCCGAAGGACCACTGAATACGTCCCGAAAGACCACTGGATACGTCCCAAAGGACTAATATACCCTCAACTTTTGGCATGCCAACTATACCTATAGCTCTCGTATCATATAACATGGGCTTTAATATGAATACATTTCTCATTTCATATCTCTTTCATCACTTTTCATATAAACCCATAATCTTTTCCAGTATTTCACATACCTGGATTATATTCTCTGGCAATGATATTCATTCATTCAATGTCATATGAACATACAATGAATTATGTATGCAATCACTATTACAATAGTATATGTATGCATCTACATGGGTATGGAATCATTAATTCAACTATCAGAGATAGACTTATCACAAGTCTTGTCTCTATACACTTTAACTATAAAATGCACTCACCTTAGCCTTGCTTTGATTTGATTATAATCCTTTGATTGTTCTGGAATAAGATTACGCTCTAAATCTACATAGTAATACATTGATACTTATTAGCATATGAATTGCTATATTTCAAACTATTAATCCTTAGGCTAAAAGAAAGCTATTTTTATCTCTTATTGAAGGTATGCATCGATGCACTACACCATGTATCGATGCATCCCTTGACGGGTGCATCGATGCACTACCCATGCATCGGTGCATAAATCCTATTCGATGTTTGTATTTTAAGTAGGTGCATCGATGCACTCCTTATGCATCGATGCACTAATGGCATTCGATGTTCATTTATTTTAAATGAGTGCATCGATACACTCCATGTGCATCGATGCACCTTCAACAAATTCTGGGATTTTCCCTTGATGCATCGGTACACTTTGAATGTGCACCGATGCACTCTGCTCATAATTCATTTCTTGAACCCGAAAACCTATCCATTTCAGCTTAAATCTTTCACGTTTCATCCCATTTTATATTCTTAACTCCAGTACACATACTTAAACCAATTTATACTCATTTATTTCATCTTAAACCTCAGAATCCTATCCTCCTTGTGAAATCCAAGAATTATACCAACTTTGCAACATTATTTAATTATACTTCTAACCCTTAATATGTCTTAACTAGATTGATGACAAGTCAAATTTAACTTCTAATTCTAGATATGAACTTTATTCCAATATTTCATTCAAGAACCTCCAATCTTTAATCTCTTCTAACTCCATCATCCTTTGATTTTAAGATAACCTAAGCTTTCCTTAAACTTAGTTATCATCTAATAATCAAAACCCAATCTTAAATTTAATAAGAAACTCAATAATCAGAAAACTCACCTTTGTTTTGCTTTACACGTACAAAGAAGAAAAAAGAAGAAAATAACTCTGGAAACCTTTGTGTTCTCCCCTCTTCAACCCACGTGGATACATATATAACCCTTCTTTTCTTATTTCCTTATAAATGACCTATTTGCCCTTCTATTCCTTCTTCCTTTCAATTCAAATCCATACAATAATTTACAAATAAATTTGTATACTATTCAATCATTCTATTTTAATCACCAAATTATGAGACTTTACAATTTAGTCATTTACCCGGTATTGAGGATGTTACAAATCTCATCCCTTAAGAAAATTCGTCCTCGAATTTTCATTACGCAAAGAGATAGGGGTACTTAATCCTCATATCCTCTTCACGCTCCCATGTTGCTTTCTCTACTTTGTGATTCCTCTACAAGACTTTAACCAATCGAATATTCTTATTTCTTAGTTGTTTAACCTCATGAGCTAGTATTTGAATAGGTTCCTCTTCATAAGTCAAATTTAGTTGAACCTCGATCTCTTCAGTATTCACGATATGGGATAGATCAGATCGATACTTCCGAAGTATTGAGACATGAAAGACATTGTGTATCTTTTCCATTTCAGATGGCAAAGCTAACTGATATGCTATTGGTCCTACTCTTTTAATAATCTCGTAGGGTCCAATGAATCGAGGACTCAATTTTCCTTTACGTCCAAATCTCATAACTTTCTTCCAAGGAGAAACTTTGAGAAACACTTTGTCTCTAACTTGATATTCTATTTCCTTTCTCTTTAAATATGCATATGATTTCTGTCTATCAACTGTTGTTTTGCTGTTACTCTGAATCACTTAAACTTTTTCTTACATTTCCTGAATCATCTCGGGACCAATAATTTCTTTATCATTAAGCTCAAACCAATTCAAGGGCGTACGACATCTTCTCCCGTATAAAGCTTCATATAGAGCTATTTTGATACTTGACTGATAACTATTGTTAAATGTAATTCAGCAAGCAGCAAATACCTTTCCCACGATCCTTTGAATTTGATTACGCAAGCTCTAAGCATATCCTCCAGAATTTGGATAGTTCGCTCAGATTGTCCATCGATCTAAGGATGAAATGATGTACTAAAATTCAACTAAGTTCCCAACGCTCTATGTAATGATTTCCAAAATCGCGATGTGAATCTAGGATCCCGATCAGAAATTATGGAAACAAGTATACCATGTAAACGTATAATTTCTCTAACATATAGTTCGACATATTTATCCATGGAGAAATCAGTTCGCACCCGGATAAAATGGGCTGACTTAGTCAATCTATCTACAATCACCCAGATTGAATCCCTTTTGTTTGGAGTTAAAGGTAACTCCGTCACAAAATCCATTGTTATATTCTCTCATTTCCACTAAGGAATTGATATTGATTGTAATAGTCCCGACAGAACCTGATGCTCAGCTTTGACTTGTTGACAAGTCATACACTTTGATACAAATTTCGTAATGCCTTTCTTCATTCCAGGCCACCAATATCGACTCTTGAGATCCATATACATTTTGTTTCCTCCTGGATGCAGCGTTAATGGACTACAATGAGCTTCCGTTAATATATCAGTCTTTAATTCATTATTATCTGGAATTACTAGCCTCCCTTGAAAAT